ATTATTTAAATTATTATAATATAAATTAATTAAATTATTTTTCATTGAATATCAACTTGTTCTTGAGCTAGTTCAATATTCCAAATTGACATGTGTGACATAAAGCCTTCATAAAATCCAAAATTTGGATTTCCTTTCATAGCATAACCAATACATAATTTATCCATAACAGGTTTATATAATTTATCAATGGATGTATTAACATTTTTATCCAATTTTCCATTTAAGTAAAATTTTAAATTTCCATTTTTAAAAGTAAAACAACAATGATTCCATTCATTAATAATAACATTAGATGATGAAGATTGACCACATATTTGAATTGACACATTGTCATTTCTACTTCCTAAGAATCTAATCTTATTTTGGTAAATGTCAAATCCAAATCCACCAAAGCCTTCACCTGCCACACATGAATCAAATATTCTGACATCTCCAGATTTAGTAGGTTTAATCCATGTCATCATTGTTAATTGTGATACTTTTTCATCATTACTATTTATATCATATAATTGTTTTGGAATTGTCATTTGAAAATGAATACTATTTTTAAATGAAAATACTTGATTTAATCCATCTTGATCGTTATTAGATAATGAAGAAGAATTATTAGTTGGAATTGTTTCTTCAAACAATGATGGTGACTGATGGGTTGTTGAGGTTTGTTGTTGTCCCATTTTTTTTTGTATGTTTGAAATATGAACTTGTAAAACTCATCATCATATGATAATTGTAGTCTCTGTTGTAACATAACATCACTCATCAATTAAATAATTTTCATGATTATTTATTAGTATTATTATATTCACTGAAAATAACCATTTTCAAAATTTACAAATATCCACACAAATACTAATTTAAATTAGAAAATATTGTAAATTCCTAATTAATAATGTTTTTCATTATTCAGAGAGAATTTCCAATATTAAGAACTATCATAATTCAATGCAGAGGCAGTTAGTAAATTTGATGATGATGTGTTATTTTTCTTCTTTTTCTTCTTTTCATTTTCATCTTTTCGTTTTCTCTTTTTTACTTCCACAATTTCTAATTGAGAAATTAAATCTTCTTTTTCCAAAGTTTGTTCCACTAATTCATCTGCTGATACTACTCCAATATTATCAATACTATCAATACCACTATTAATACTTGTATCTTTAATTACAATATGAGATTCTTGTAAATATTTCTGAATTTCTTCCTTTTCCTTATTAATAATTTCCAATCTTTCATTCTTTAATTTTTCTTCCTGTTCCTTTAAATAGAGAATATCATCTTCATCAAGTGATCTTGGTGCTTGATTTCCAATAACTTGTTCTAATTCTTGTTGTTTTTTCAATTTATTTTCCATTAATCTTTCATAGAGTGGTCTTGTATCGGCTTCTTCTTCTTCATCTGCTAGTGATGATTCTCTAGATTCTAATAGAGAGGTCCATTTAGGATTTGAATGTTGTTGATTAGATGTGGATGATGATGATTCATTATTTAGGCTTGTTTCTTCTTGTTGATCAACATCATTGTATTCCGAAGATGATGATTTAAATTCTAATTTTGTTCTCGATGAAAAAGTATCTGCTAGTTTTTTCTTTGCATTAGTAGTGGTAGTAGTAGTAGTATTGCTATTAGTGGTGGTATTGAATGGAAGATTAGAGTGATCCATCATAATTTTTATTTTTTTAAATTTAAAATTTATTATTTATTTTGAAGATGTAGCCTAGTA